ATGAATAATAATACTCCCTCTTATAGACAAGGGAGAGAAATAAGCTTTTTAATGGCATACTTTATTTCTTACTAATATGACCTTCTGAAACAGATCAGATTTGGCTTAGAAAATTGTTGTTATTCTCCTTTGACAATACTTGGAGTCTGAGACAGTAGCTCAGACGTTGTCTGTAGACTTGACTGGCTGAGATAAATGCTGTCCCAAGTCTGAGTGAAAAGAACCACTGAAGCCAAAGGAGGAGAGAGCTCAGCATTTGAGGATTTATATGGACTCAGACACAAATACGATAAAGAGAGAATTTGAAAAAAACCCCTGCAGTGCGAACTCTTTATTCTGAGAATCTTCTTCTTCTAATATACACATTTTCCTCTAGATAAAATCTAAAGGTTGATGTGACAGGTTACTTCCACTGACCATCATGCAAATGTGTACAAGGCCAGGAAAAATAAAATTGAGTCTACTAACACAAGGCAGAAATGTGCAGTTACTGAAGTGGATAATTTCTATGTTGTTGATTTTGTAGTACTGGCTGGAAAAAAAAGATAGCTGTACCTCTAGTAATCTCTATAGACAGTCCACGAAAATAAGGTTTGGCTCAATATATGAGTTTTACCGCCTCTGCCATTAGGAACACACTGAACTTTATTAAAAACTCAATAAATGTATTCAGTAAATGCATGACCTGGAACTCCCAGAAACTATTTAATCAATAGAGAACAACCAGCTTTAGATCCCTGATACGAAGGGAGGCATTATATTATTTTAATTTAATTTCCTTGTCTAAGTGATCAGGAACATGAATTCTTAAATTCAAAAATGTGGTTTAACCTAATACAATTTTACTAAAATCTTATTTTAGTTTTAGACTTACTTAGATCTAAGCAATTGTTTCCAGGGTGACACTGTGAGAATGAGAGAAGATGGGCCTCACAAAGTGGCCTCCATTCTGGTATCTTGGTATTAGAGAGGCAAATAAAGATCAAATACAGATGTAGCAAATGCAGCAAAAGGAAGATTCACAGAATTCTTATTCCAGCTACTTGCTGAAGCTCGATGAAATATTAAGAAAGGTGAAGACATTTTGAGATGGACCACAGAGGAAAGCCACTACCAGTGTGAAGACAGAAATTTACAGCTTCTTTAAAACCAGTCTGTATGTCAACAGAAAACTGTCTTATTAAGAATAAACATTCTAACTTTGCCTTTTTCACATCAAGAAAGGTAAATCTGATTTGGGAGGCATTTCTGTAGAGGTATGGGCTTCGTGACCTTTAAAATAAATTATAAGGTACAAATAGGACTATCCCTACTGAAAAGGCAGAGAGAAACAAAATTGATTTTACTGAAATCTCACTGTTCTACTTATGTTTTGATGGGTTAGCAGTAACATAACACTTTGACATCACCAACATTGTCTATATTTGAGGACCTGATGTTTGTCTGTTGATATTTGTCTCTTCAAAGCAGAAAAAAACAAGTCAGCTTGTTTAATGAATAAGCTCAGGGGAGTTTGTCAACAACATTTGTTTTGCTTTGGGGCCACATTTGCAGCAATAATAAAGTACAAAGTAGTCAGCTTTTTACATTCTTACTATATATTCTCCGAATGACAACTCATATTAAGAGTAAAAAATTTTCCTTTTTCCACAGAGACAGAAAATTCAAAAACATTTTAGTCACCTAAATATTTGTCACCTGAATTTTATTCAACACATTTTATTTCTAATTACAAATAGTCAGTTAAACTGTAATCCTGGGTTTCCTTTTCAGCATAAAAATGGATAATATTATTTAAAATATTTTGATACTACCATAGGAATGTTATAAGATTTTCAAGTCATTACAGTAGCTAGACTTCTACACTTCTGTATTTTGTAGTAGAATTCTAGTTGAAATTACTTTGTAATAATCATTAAGTGAATGGAAATCCTTCATAGATTGAAAAGCAGTGTTGATAAAGTTACAAAACCTATCATGGAGCAACTCGGGAGGTGTAAGAACGTCATATGGTTGTTTTATTTACTTAATTACTTATAATTGCAATTTTTCAGAAAGCTAGCCAGCTGCTTTGCACACTAGCCAATCCTTTTGCGGCTGCAATTGTTTGCAAGTGTTTTAGCAATAGTAACAGGAAAGTAACTCTTCCTGTGATTCAAGGAAGGTCAAAGACATTGCAGTAAAAACACTCTAAGGAGGCACATGCAACCTCTGGAGAAAGAGCTTTAAAAACAGCCAGCTCATGCTCTGCAGTATCTCACAACTCTGCTGTTCCAGCTTCAGGTTGTTGTGCACAGGGAAAGTGAGGAAAGAAGAGGTTAAAACCACAACCCCCTGATACCCCTTCACTTTTTTTATGTTGCAAGCATCTGTGAAAAGCCTGTGAATGAGTTGGTTCCTCAAAACAGAAATCAAATGGAGTCTTCTGTCAACAGAAACAAATCCAGTAACCCTTAACCTCCAGAAGTGCAAGTGGGCACCTGGCAGTGGTTGGGGCAGCAGTTCTTGCAGAAGAAAAAATTAACCAATGTTCAAATTCTGTATCACAGCTTAAGGGAGCAATTCTAGTGGAAAATGGCAAGCATCAGTCATCGCAGGCATAAAATTATAAATTCTTCTGCCACCAATACTTCTAACTGTCCTTCAGCTGCCAATATGATGTGTTTGGGTAAGGAGCCAAGCGTCTTTAGATCACTAATGCCAGCAGATCAGAAGGTGCACTATGCACAAGACTATCCACCGTCGCTCTATGTGGATGTAGAATTCTGTGCATGATGCCTCAGCTCATTACAGTTCTTAATTATTTCCTTATCAGCTTCCATCTTCTCCTGTACATTGCCTGAAAAGTATTTTTCCTAAAATGATAGCACGTGGGAACTTCCAGTGTTATTTTGTCTCTGTATAGAAATGTTGGGAAAATGCCAACAGCAAACTTGGAAAGTCCTTGCCTTCAGGGTCTGAAGTACAGAGACACCTCTGTGGCCTTCTGAGAATTTTAGTTGATAAAGGATTAATTTCAATGATCAGTTCCAGAGATGATCAATCTCAGATCAAGGATCAAGTTCATGAATTCATTATTAAAATTTTTCTGGGTTAAGAACATTAGGTGTTTCAGACACATTGCTAATTTACTCTGTTACTTATGATAATGTCTCTGAATTTAGAATTTGGTTGTCAGACATATTGGTTCAGGGTTTTTTCCTTCCTTCACATCCCTTGTAAATATTTCTCTAAGCCACATTTGGCATAAATATGATATAGATGTCTCCTGCCCACTTAAAATCTCGTTGCTCTTCCACCACCCATGGAAAAATAATCTTTCTGACTAATAAAATTAAAAAGGCAACATATTTTTTGGGGAACTTTTCATAGCAGATGGTAATAAGATGTCTTTGATATGGATTTGACAACACTGCTATGTGCTGCTAGATTCTATTTCACATTTGTAGAAAGAGACAGAGATCTGCTGCAGAGTGATTGCAAAATTAGATGTCTTGTGTAAGGTGTTTGGTTCGCAGTCTGGTTAAAATGCAATTTTCTTTCATTGTAGGATTCATCTGGGCCTACAGTTTACTATTCACTGCATAGATCAATGTCTGTTTTTTGGATGCCAAAAGTCTCTTTTCCTCAAAATTCATTATAAGTACAGTGTTTCTCAGATTTATTGTCCACTCAGCTTCTAAATCAGATGGGAAAACTACTATAGTAGCAACTTTTTGGTGGTAGATCAAAACATTTTATTTCTTTTGCTGCAATACTAGGAAATTTAGGGAATGTGGACATCTCCAGCACTGGAAGAAGCAACTCACTGGCTTTACACCATTAGATAAGCAAAATCATGACTAGATTCTGCTTAGATGGCAACTTAGGTCGGAACTACTTCTTGGTTTGAGTAGGAAGTTCTCTAGCACAGAAACTGCACATTAACTCACAAATTAAATCGTTTTTAATAATACCTAAATGCTCCGTTTAAAAATTATTCATCTACATTATAGGAACATATTGATACTAATCTTTGTCTTTCATAAAATGTAAGCATTAATAAATAATATTGAATCATGAATAAATAATCTCTCCTAAGTTAACTGGACAATTCCATAGAATCTCATTCTGTCAGTCAATTTTAATCTAATTTCATGATATAAATACCTGTTATGTGCCTAGGTTAGATCTTATTTGGATAAGTTATTCTGTAAATTATACAATAGTAATCAACTCTGGAATTAAGCTACTGATAGACCAGTAATACTTTCTATGCTGTATTTAAATAGCCATTTACAGTACACTCTGCACTGTGAACGTATTCCCTGTTCATTGGGTATGCATATGCATTTGACATTTAAAAAGTGTATATTAACTGCATTATATTAATTAAGCTACAGTCAGACTGATTTTTACATGCCACCTTGTGGAAAATCAATGAAATTTTCTTATCGACCAGCTGATATTAAAAATTCTGAACTCACAAAGAGCTGTTGGAAGTTATATAGCTATAAAAATAAATATTATAAAGAAGAATAAAATATTGCTGCAACAAGATATAGGTTCTGGTAATTCATTTGTATACCATCTCTCACCTACAACAAATAACTGAATGGTAAAAATAGGACAAATTTCTGCCTGAGGCTTCCTAGCAGCATATTTTCACTACAGATTTCTCTGAACGTGACCAAAACTTTTCAGGGCTGAAAGAGTTTTACCCAATGACTACAGAGTAAAATTTGTTAATTTAGTTAATAAGAGGTGGCTTTCAAGCAAAAAGAAAGCTTTGAATACCATACTTTAAAAACATAATTATGGTACCAGTGTTCTAATGTAATTCAGATATCTGTTAGTAATATTTTTACAGCTCTCCTGCTGTAAACATAATTCACAGGGAAAAAAACACTGAACATCCATAGTTTACATATGTTAAACAATTCAAGCTCTCAGTACCACATTTAGAAAATCCAGTTTCTGCAAAAGAGTTCAGAACTATTTCAGCAGAGGTAAAATCTCACCTATTACATATAAAATTGAAAGTGTTTCCAGTTTTAATTTCTCCACAAATTTGCAGCACCTTCTCCAAGTCAATTGTATGGCTTTCAAACAGGTTTCTGGAAGTGAGAATTTTATTTAAAAAAATTGTCTTTGCTTAGAGTAATGCACAGAAATTGGAATATAATTTCTTAAAAGGTCTATGGGATAATGATGACATTTTGAGAAGTCTGGCAAAAATGCAGGGAAAATTACTACCTATTTTTTAAAGAGGTTTTGATCTGAGACTCTAGAACTCTGTATTTCAAAACCTGTTTAAAAAACTGCTTAGTAAAATATGGATTGTACTGTTTGTCCCACAGTTAATCACAGTGACCTTTGGTGTCATCCAGACAGTAGTTAAGATAGTAGCTTAGGTAATTAAATGGGCACCTTGAAGGTCCTTTAAAAAACACTAAGGTGAATTATATAAAGCATCATAGCAGTGACTCAGTCTGAACATGGAAAATAATGTGCTACCACATAAACAAGAAAGACCAGCAAGCTCTCGCTTTATACTACAGCTGCCTTCAATGAAACTAAGGGAAATAATTCTGTGATAACCAGAAAAATTTACTAGTTCAAACAGTTTTTAATTCTGCCTATTTTTTTAACTACCTTCTAAACTAAAACTGCATTATTTCTCCCAACCTGTAAGTATTTTTTTTCTTAATCACACATATTTAAAAGACTTTATGTGTGCCTTATGTACTGAATACCAAGTAGACAAATAATTGTAAGTTATGGGGGAGTGGGATTACTCTTCACAAAAATCATGCAAATATGGAGTGAAACATATCTGATGTTCATGCAATTTCACACAATTCTTGGTGGGCTCAGAAAAAAAGATTTAAGTTTCTCTATGACCCCTTCAGTTTCTTGGAAGGGAGCAGTTATGTGGGTTTTTAACTTGTATTTATCATAACAGTACATTGCCAAAAATATTCCAGTCTCCCAAGGGCTCTAATGAAAGGCTATGTGTAGGTTAATGGATTATAATGAAAATCCAGAGTGTTCAAATGTGAAAGAAGGGGGGGTGCTTTTTCCCTTTTATTTCCTCACATCTTTTATTTTCTCTGAACCAAATGGCTCGCTAATGCATTTTGAGCTCTCTCCTATCGAAAAAAGCTGTGGCTCTAGCTGTGAAACAGCCCAACCTACTCAACAGCATGTTTGCCCTTCTCCTACCTCCTACACCTACCCCTCTTTCCTTCCCAGAGAGCCTGTATCACCAAGCTGGCTGAACATAGAAGCATGAAAAAGTTTGGGTCCCCTTTTTTTGGCCTCTCTGGATAGGGAGATAAATAATAACCTACAGCCTCCCCTCTACTGAAAACACAGAGGAACAAATCTTCCTCTCTCTGGTTTGCTCACATTTCTTAGCAGAGATGCAGGAAAAAGCCAAACAAGCCAGAAAGATTTCCGAGGAAACCCAGGAGGGAACAGGTAGTATTTAGAAACCAGGAAAATACAGAGAAAGACACAGAAATTCTTCTCTGAAAGACTAGCACACCAGTCCAAATGCATACAGCCTCCCCAGGTACTATTGCTGGACCTATTGTCAAGTGAAATAATTTCTTCCAAAGCAGCTACACAATATTGTGCAAATTGTCCTATGTAGGTTGAGACCCAAGGCTACTGAGGAGTCTTTTTTGAGGAGGTAGCTGAAGATATAAACTACAGAGAGTATGTAATTTTAAAAGACTGTCTAAGAAATTGAAGATTCAAGATTTTACCCTTACTACACCTTGAGATGGCCAGTAGAATTTGTCTGAAGGAAAGCAGAAAGATTAACATTTGAAAGACACTTTCAGTGTTCATACATGCTAATGACAGAAGAAGCAACTCTAGAATAAAACAATCTTTATGTATCTTCAGTAATATGCCCATTAAATAAAATTATTATTTTCTAAGTGATGTGGAAACTTCAACCCCATACCTTGAAGTATAATGTACCTATTTGTTTCTCATTTTCTGTGGCTTTGTGTCCATGATTTACAGTGTTTACTTATGAAAACAGAAACTCAATTCCCACAAACACATTAAACTTCCCCCTGGGAAGCTCTTCGAACAGATTGACAAACACTGTATTTGTCTTTCAAAACATAGTTAAAACCAATCATCACTAAAATGCTTCTCAGTGAGCTGTTGCCTTCTTCAGTAACTTATCCTTCTCAGAGAACCACCCAATGATGAAACAGCCTGACAGTGTCCTGGACAAACTCCTTTATAAATGCAAGCTTTTTCAGAGGGCCATTATGTACTGGGAACTTCTGATCAGATCTGAAAATGGGCAAAATTATTTCAACAGAAGAACATCTTAAATATAATGCTTACCAGATACTCACCTCCTTCCTGAGTTTTGCCAGGTTATTTGCCCTGAAGTATTCTGCTCTCGCAAAATCACAGAGTTAGAAGAACCACACTGTAGTGAAAAAAGATACATTTCATTATGAAAAGTTTGTGAACAACAGCATGTCAGAATGGTTTCAATAAAGCCCCTGACAATCTTCGAATCTGGGAGGTGGGAATTTTCAAAAGACTGGAAGCAGTATCTTTATGAGGTTCTAGAAAGAAAATCCTGAACAGATATGAAATGGTAGATAATATCTTATATAGTTCCCCTCTCTTCTTCTCCCCACAACCTCTTGCAAAGGAATAAAATGCAGTTGGAAAGTTTTGAACATGGGTATCTGTATATAGGGTAGATATTGAACTGACCACTAAAAATAGTTTAATAAATCACACTCCATTTGCACTTTAGACGCTGACTAATTAATTGCTATTTGAAATTTCACTATCATATTTAACAGCAGCAGGAAAGCTGGACACTAAATCACTTAAGTAAAGACACTGTCAGTGATTCCATACAGGACTGTAAAAATGGATAGTGATGAAAATGGGGGAAAAAATTATTTTCAAGGCTTGACTGCCAGAAGAATTTTGTACTCTCTGAGGAAATTCTTAACTTAGCTGAGTGTGCTAGGATAACGTATATGTGTATTTAGGTGAACTTTCTCATTATGATTTGTAGTACTATGGAACCTACCAGGATTTTTCAATATGCTGAGCTGTTACAGAGAGGTCTGCTGAAATTCCAGGTAGCATTTGAATATTAGAGCTACTTTCCCCCCACTAACTACTACTGATTATTCCCCCGTTTTTTTTTCACATAAAACACCTCTAATGTAATGATCTTCCAGAAAACAAAACAAACCCATTTTCCTTATACAAAATGATTACCTTTATATGCAATCTTTATTGCACTATAAACAGAAATTTTATAATAATCATTCTGGGTGTTGTTATTCTTATTCTTAAACCTGGCTACCTCACATATTTTCACTTTTACTGGGATAAACAACTCTAATGTCTGTTACTTAAGCATAAAATATATTCAAAGGGACTAAGTGCCTTCCCAGGTGTTAGCAGCACACAGCAAGACTAACAGGCAAATGAGGAAATTTACTGTCCCTTTAAATATGACTTTTGATGTGTTCCCTCAGTCGTTAATAGATTTGCCCACCCTACTTGCAGCAGCTTGTTTAGGACGATGGCGTTTTAACAAAACACTCTTCTTTTTATTGATGGAGTCATTCACAAACTGTCTCACTATGGTCTGCTTTTTGAAACAAGTGATTTAAAGCTTGTGGCATAAAAAATAGTCTTTGAAGAATTGAAAACTCCCTGCACCTTTTATCCAGTTTAACGTTTCTTCCCTAAAAATCATGGTTGCTAAGATATGTCTGTCTGAATGCACACTCAAGCTGCTCTCCCTTAATCTGTATTCTTTACTGTGGTAGTTTCCAGGAAGCCAGAAAGAATCTAAAGAACCTATTTTGCTGCACAGGCACTTTTATTTTCTTCCTTATTCACTCTAGTTCCAAAGTATTTTATTCCCTTTTGCCACTCAGCTGTACTTCCAGTTTGCATATTATGTTCCATGGTATTTTGATTCAATATGCAGCATTGTTAATTTATGACAATGAATCTCGCATTTTACAAAGATCTGCTAGATTTACTTGATTTTTAGAAAAGGTTGTCTATGGTTCAATGACATATATTGTCATAGAGAAAATGCTCTTATTCTATTACTGCCATAGTTAGTTCCTTTTGTTGTTATTACGAGTGAAAAAAACTTTGTGGCTCTCTCTGCTGCCATTTCTTTATGATGACTTGTTCAGTTACAATAAAACAAAACCATTTCACTCCTGCTTGGAGGTTTTGACCCTATGTAAACTTTTTCAAAGAGTTCAATTCATTAGAACAAAGGCTTTCTCTGAAATAAAAGAAACAGCCCTTCGTTTCTTTGAACAGAGAATTTTAATTTTTTCAGTTGTACTTTATGTGGGATAAACCTAGTGGATCAGGTCAGAGAGAACTGTAATGCATTAATTCTTGACAGATATGATGATATAAACAGGATAATACTTTGGAGATGTTTAACAATGGAGACAAGAAGATTGAATTTAAGGCTGGAAAAAAAGCCCAAGAGTTGCGTATAACTTTTAGGTATCTTCTTTTGACTAGACTGTAAAAGCAAAGAGAACAGGATAAAAAGATAGGGCAGAAAATCAGGTAGGGAAAAGCTTATACCTTTATCTTAGCCTTGGATCCACAGAATTGCAGAACAACAGAGTTTGGACAGGATCCTGCAGGTCGTCTGATACAAAGCCTACTCAGAGCACGGTCAACTAGATAAGCAAGCACAGGGCCTTGCCTCACTGAGGTCTGAGCATCTTCAACAATGAAGATTTCTCAGTCTCTGGATAATCTGTGCCACTGTCCAACCACCCTCACAGAATTCTTTTTTTCTACTATCTGGTCAGAATTTCCCTTGTTGCACCTTGTGGCTATTTTCTTCTGTCCTTCAGCCATGCTCTTCTTAGAAGTCTGGGGCCTTCTCCCCTATACCCTATCACAGGAAACAACAAGCTCAGCAGAGAATAATGTACCATTCAGCCAGAGTGTTCCTAATGAACTATCTATGCTTAAAGCACCTAGGTTAAGATAAGGCAATAGGACATATGTTGGGAAGGTCTTACCTTTGAATACATTAGTATTTCTTAGTATTAGTAGTTCTCCTTTTGTCTTCCTGTCACAGATTCCCAGTCAAGGGCAGGGCAGTTGATTTCTAGTCCCATGCTTTCTAGTCAAACAGGACAAAAAGTTGAATTCAAGGGTGTTTCACCTTTGTCTGCCATTACAAAAGAAATGTTTTTTAAAAGACCATACAAAACTACTACTTTCAGGATTGCCAGTCTCGGACTTCTGAAACAAATCTGTCTTGGTTCAGAATAACTTTCTGATTCATAATGAGCATCTATTGTGTTTGCGGCAATTTTATTCCTTAGGTGACTTTGCTTAGAATGACTGCAGATATAAAATAATAAATTAATTTAAGTAAAATTGAGCCCTTCCTGTGGATTAGTTAACTCCACTCATACATGTCAGTTTCTGTCCTCCACCTCCATTCTGTTTTAGTATTCTCCAGCTCAGGGAAATATCACAAAAAGGGTTATTGAATTTTGTTGTACTAAAATGTCATATCCTGCTCTCTGTTTTGACATTTTCTTGATCAATGAGTTGTTAACGCAAAAAAAGACAGCTATTTAACTTTCTGTGTGCAAAGAAAGAATATGAGCTGGTACTGGATTTCTCAAAGGCCAACAGGTGGGACACAAAGTAAGCAGCCCATAATGGTGAGGAGCCTTAGTGAGAGCAAATGGGACAGCCAAGGCAAAGTTACTGTACCTTCGTAAATGAAATAAAAAACCTCAATGTGAGGAAAATGTTCTTATCTTCTAAGGGCTTCTCTGGATACTCAAAATGTTTTTCTCTCTTACAATCCAAGATGTAGTAAAAGAGAAGGCAAGTCTGGTCATACAACTATAACAAATAAGATTTCATGCTTTCTTTCTTCTTACCTGGGTCATCCACAAAACTTGTGATATAGGCAAAACCAACTGCTTATTATCTACAGTATGTATAAGATAGAGTTCTCTGACAATTTGAAGAAACACATAGAAGTAAAGGCTGTTACCTATCTATGGTCCAAACACTCACTTGGGTTTCTTTGCTGGTAGCATGATCAAGCAAAAGTCAGAGCCGGAGAACATGTTTTTCCCATCTGTGTTCAGCTTGCCTTTGCGGGCACAACAAAATGGAATTTGCATCTCTGATGCTTCCAGTTGTGTTACGATTAGAGCATCCAGTTTCTCCATGAAGACCACTTTGTCACTCCTGACAGAAACAACTCAGGCTGCTGATTTTCATACAGAAAACATCAAACCATTTTATATGTATGCCTTTCAATCTTTCATTGTAAATCAGAATTTTAGGTTTGATCTTTAGACTCTTAGTTACTTTACATGTCAAGAGTAAAATAAACCATGTGTGTGTGGCTCCAACAAACTGATGTCCCATTCCTTTGCAGTTACAGAAATACAGTATCTCATTCTCGCCAAGGTCAGTGAGTCCTTGGGAAAGCAGCCAGTGAAACAGGGCCTTGGGAGAGGGAGAGACTTTCACAATTCCAACTAAAGAATAAGAAGGTAGCAGCAGAGCTCCTTTGTTACATGTTCCCCTCTGTAGCTTACAACAAAAAGCCTGATCACACTTTTAAAATGCTTGTTGTGGAGTTTTGCTTATTTTCTTAAAGACTAATTGCACTGTATCACTTTCCACTCCTACACAAAATTGTGGATGAGACTCTTCCATTTTCAAAGCAGATATAGAACCTGTTTTGTTCTAATTTTATTTAGATAAAGTAGTGCTTTGCATTAGAACTTTTAAGGAAAAAAAGGATTGTGTTCAAACAGGATTATGCCAAAAAATTTCTATGCTAACTGATTTCAGTGGTCTGAGTGTTTAAACACGCATTGGTTAAAGAATCCTTAGCACTGATAAGTGGTGAGAGACTGGTTTTGGAAATGGGCTAGGGAAATTAGTTAGGCCTAAACGCAAATCTGTGTTTTCTGTCTTCATTCTTACTTGTTTTCCATTTCTAATAGAGTAGGATGTGTTTCTTCATACAGTGTTTTCTTCTTCAGCTTTGTACTGCTGTTCTGTTCTTTTGACTACTGGTAGAGCAGCTAAATCAAAATCTGTGCATAAACTTCACATCGCAAGGTATCTACTTATTTTAGTTACTTTTCCTCATCCTGAGAATATCTGTAAGGTGATTAATATAACTTGGTTTAATATAAAATCAAGTTAATGACAAGCAATATCTTTCTCAGGTTTTCCACACGGAGAATGTAAGTCCGTATTAATAAAAGAAAAAGCTTTTAGATCAGAGTAGGATTACTACACTGAACAAAAACTACAGCAGCTATATATATGTATATATCTCAGAAACCTTTTGCACATTAGGAAACTTACAAATCCCAAATAAAACTGGTGCACATAGTACATCTAGATATT